AGTGTGCCTGGGGCGGTGTGTATCAGTGTGCCTGGGTGGTGTGTGTTAGTGTGCCTGGGCGGTGTGTATTAGTGTGCCTGGTGTGGTGTGTGTTAGTGTGCCTGGGGCGGTGTGTATCAGTGTGCCTGGGGCGGTGTGTATTAGTGTGCCTGGGGCGGTGTGTATCAGTGTGCCTGGGGCGGTGTGTATTAGTGTGCCTGGGCGGTGTGTATCAGTGTGCCTGGTGTGGTGTGTATCAGTGTGCCTGGGGCGGTGTGTATTAGTGTGCCTGGGGCGGTGTGTATTAGTGTGCCTGGGGCGGTGTGTATTAGTGTGCCTGGGCTCACATAAGAGTATGAACATAAGCACCAAGCTGCACGTAAAGTGCTATTAACGACTGGAACCGAGGGCCCAGAGAGGAAAGATCTAAGGCAGGACATCTTACCAGTGCAAAAACAATGCACTGGCTCGTTGGGTTGTCCCAGTGTTGGAAAAGGTCAGGAGGTAGGAAAGGGGAGGAGAAGATTCACTTATTAAGCCTTTCAAAATAACATTTAAAGAGAACATCTGGCCAGGGCCCAGTTCAGTGGTGATGTGCTCGCCTAGCTTGCCTGGTATGTGCGAGGGCCTGGGTTCAATCCTCAGCAATGCAAGAGGACAGAAGGGAGGGGAAGGAAGAGAGGGAGGGAGGGGAAAGGGAGAGAAAACATTATGACTAATGAGACTTTGTCCCCAGGCACGCTAGATACCCATCTAAATTATATCTGTCCTTCTAAGTAGTCACTTGGTGAGACTAAACACTTACTACAGTGGCACTATTGGAAAAGACCTTGAGAGATTCCCTTTGATAACTGCCTTCTGAGTATTTTTATGAGCCACAAATGAATGCCTGCATTATTGCCTCAGAAAACTGTCTCGATTTCTCTGTATATGGTGAGAACATTATATATGGACATAAGATGTATTCAATTAAAATTTGGCTGGTTGGACATTTCTTTTACAAACTAAGAATATGTAGCAAATTGCTTTTGTCTATTTTCCAAAATAATCCAACCTGGAGAGTCCTGTTCAAGAAGACTTCCCGTGGAGATGTAGAACGCCAAGAAAGAACGGGGAGGGACCTACTCCAGACCAGGAGAGCAATCTTCAAAAAGGTAGTCCAGCATTCTGAACAGTGGTACCTCCACAGGAAGACACAGAGCCAGTATTTAACCCGTATCTACATTCTGGGTTTTTGTTTTTAATCTCTGTGGTTGGAAAAGCTGTTATATGCCAGCTTGTGGTCAACCTTGGTGTCTTGCTGGTGGCTCCTAAGCCATCACTAACAATCAGGTAATCTCCCTAAGTCACTCATAAAGACCTAACCAGACTGCAGGGGAAGATGAATCAAGCTCTCCATAGTTTCAAGTTTAGGGAGGAGATCACCTAGAAGATGCCTGTCAGAGTTGCTGACCACCACAAAAACAGACACAAATCCCTCTAATCCACACACAAGCTTAGATTCTTTTTTTTTTTTTCCCCAGAGCCGAGGGCCGAACCCAGGGCCTTGCACTTGCTAGGCAAGCACTCTACCACTGAGCTAAATTCCCAACGCCAAGCTTGGGTTCTTTATGTCTTTAGATCCACTGGACTGCAACTCTGGCCCACCCACGTGAATGAGATAAGGTGTACAGAGCCCACAGTTTAGAAGAAGCTATTTAAAACCCACATTTGGGCATCAGGGTCATTAACCTGTCTGGGATGTACATAGTTTCCCATAAGAATTCATATAAAAAATTTCTCAGAGAGCAAGGCTAGAACCTGTTATCTTCCAACATGGCCTTCTTTCCGTTATTCAGCATAAGTGCTTCTTTAATCCTAGAGATCTTTCTTCCCACCGCTCTGCCCCTCTTTTCAAGTTTTAACAATTTCATACCCATACACAATGTATTATCCCAGTCCCCAGCCACTGCTCAGCACTTGGACCACTGAGGAGTCTCAGCATTCCCTAAGGCTGTTGCAAAGAGAAGCTTCTCTGACCAAGGCTGAGAGCGGCCTTAGTCAAGGTAGATAAGCACAGACACTTGGAAGGAAGGCAGCTTGATGGCCACCCAGCAAAGCCCCAGCTTTTAGCCAGGTTTACAGTAACAGGCATGTATTCCCTCCCGAGGAGCCAACTCCAGAGATGATCGGAAAGTGAGAGGTTACCATTGTTGTACCAATGGGCCCGTCTTACCTGTCTGCCTCTCGTTTCCTGGACTCCTTGGGGGCAACAGCTGTTTACATTATCTCTCGTCTCATTTTGTGCATTATCTACAGGAAACAGCAGTTCATTGGTTTTTGTTAACTGGCAAGATAGCCTTTCTTTGTTTTAAACAATTTCTAGCCGGTAGGAATGAATTCTTTCCTCTCTAATTTTCCAATTGTGTCAGCACAGTACTCCTTGATAGCGACAGGCTTTGCCTCCAGCCTCCACCATAAGGTGACGTAGGATGGTATGCCATGCTGGGCAGCACAGTGTGTCCTGCAAAACTGCATTCCTCGGTGATCAATGGTGAGTCAATGGCTTCCCAGTGTGTGTGTGTGTGTGTGTGTGTGTGTGTGTGTGTGTGTGTGTGTGTCCCCGGGTGTGTGTGTGTGGGAGGGGGTATCTTATTCTTCCAGCAACTTACTCTCTCTCCCAGCACTCCCAGCGGCAAGGCATTTGGAATTTCTTACACTTCGGACCTTCAGCACTGTCCTGTCCTTATGAACTAGAGATTCGAGTTAGGTCACGAGACTCCCTCAATTTGTTCCAAATGGCATCTGGCTGAGTTCTTTAGAGCATGTCGCATAACCCTGGGGCCTTTGCTTCCTATAGCACAAGTCGCCTTCCTTGTTCTCTGGTTTTTAGTTCGTTCACGTTGGTGTTGGTGCAGGGTTTGGTTACTAACATGCCATCCCTGATCCTCACAGATTGTGTGACTTGGAGAAAGTCTGAAAGCAGGTAATTTAAAAGGATTCAAGATTTAATGGTTCAGGATTCATTCAGAAAATGAAACAATTGTGGAGAACTTAGAACATTTTGGAAGGGGGCGAAAAAAGAAAGGGGTGGGGTGGGTTCTTCCCAGATAGTAAACTGTGTAATAAGGCTGCAGAAAATAAATTATGCTGGTGCTGAAACAGAGCCGTTCAATGGAAGCCCAGAAACATATCCAGGGAAACACTACCAAGGCTTCCATATAGACTTAAATTCTGATCCCAATGTGGGAGGCCCAGGAGTGGGGCTGAATGAGAGACCCAGATTAAAAAGATTTTGCTTAGTACTGAAGTTACTGTGGGTCAGTAGCACCCTTCACCCCTGGATCCTGGAGAAATGGGTGGACTTTCTGGAGGAAGTAATCTCTTGTTAGAGCCTCAAGAGCTTCATTGTTATTACGAACGACAATTCAACTATCAGCGGACATCTGAGGAAGTGAGACTCTGGGCCTCAGAGCCAGGTCCACAGTTGCCAGGCAGCTAGCTCTTCCAGGGACTTCGGCCATTGAACGCACAGAGAATGCAAAGTGGCGATGTTTACAGAAATAAGATAGGATTTTTAAAGGGGAGTAAATGATCAAAGATGGTCCAGGGTGCCCGGAGAGATTTAAAAATAACCAAATTGAGGACCGGACCCTGGGAGGATGGCTGGACTGGTAACGTGCTTGCTACACAGATGTGAGGACCTGAGTTTTAGTCCCCAGAACTGGTATTTTTAAAAAAGCTGGGCACGGTGGCATGCACTTATAATCTCAGTGCTGGGGAGGCAAAGATAGCTAGATCCTGGGGCTTGGTGTACTAGGAGGCGAGGGGAGAGACCCTGCCTCAAAGGTCAGCTCCCAGGGAATGACACAGCTTATCCTCTGTGTACAGGCACATGGGCATCCACACAGACACACCCTGTCCACCCCCAACACACAACAACCAAACTGAGACATATCTTTTTAAGCAAAATGGAAAAATTAAATTGATAATAGTAAATGTGTTACATGCTAACTTTTGTGTAAGAGACTAATATATATATATATATGTGTGTGTGTGTGTGTGTGTGTGTGTGTGTGTGTTTTCTTGTGTAAGAAAGCAGTAAAAGCACCCATAAGCTAATCAAAATGATATCCGTGGAGGCTAGGTGGGGATAAAGTAGGGTGGATTTCTCAATGCATTAACTTTTTAATTTTTGAGACAACATCTTACTATGTAGCTCAGGTTGGCTTCAAACTCACAGTGCTTCCGGCATAGCCTCCTGAACGTTGGATTATAAGTATATGCTACCAGAGCCATCCTGTGCTACATAGTAGGTTCCATACCATCCTAGGCTATATGGGAAGTTTGGGGCTAGCTGGGGCTATAGAATGAGACCACATTAAAAAAAATCACACATCACTCAGTCCATAAATTAATCAAACAAACACTAGTGTGTCTCTAAGTGAAACCATGCATCTTTTATTAATGCCAAAACACATTAGATTTCTATATGATCCTTACATAATAGATGGCCATAGGTAAGGGCTATGGGCTCCTTAGTTAATAAGTAGAACATGACTTGAGGAATGAGTAGCGTCTACCAAAATGCTGTTCTAGGATTAGCCTAGTATTTGTAAACAACCTATGTTATGGGTGTTTAACCACTACCATTACCATCACCATTACCACCATAACTATCACCATCATCATCACCATCATGACCACTGTCACCACCATCAATCACCAGCATTATCATCACCATCACTAGCCTCCTCCTCTTCCTCCTCAACCCTCTTTTAAAACTGAGGTTTAGAGAGTTGTCATTATCCAAGGTTACCTTCCAGAACCTAATAAGAGTGGAATTCTAAGCTTCTTGTACTCTAAATTCTAAGCTTTGTTGTTTTGGTGTGTATGTGTATGTGTGTGAGTGTGTATGTGTATGTGAGTATATATATGTATGTATATGTGTGAATGTGTGTGTGTATGTATGTGTATATGTGTGTGAATGTGCATGTGTGTATATGTATGTGTATGTTCATGTATGTGTGCTTGAGTGTTTGTGTGTGTGTGTGTGTGTGTGTGTGTGTGTGTGTATGTGTGTGTATTAACATCCTGTCTCTGGTTAAGAGACTGCTAAAAGATCAAGTCATAGGAATGAAAATCAAACACTAACAAATATTTTGTTCACCAATGTCAAGGTAACTTTACAGTTGGCTATTTTCCAAGTTTGAGTATGTCTCATTGTGTTTCTTGGCAAATACATTTTCAGCGTTGTAAACTTTGAGCAGGTGTTTGTTCTAGGTGCTTGCATGTAAAAAATAACCCACATGGTAGTTAATTTTTAAATGGTTCCTGGCAGGTGGTTTCAATAGAATTCTAGCCACTGGGAGAAGTGAGTAATAAGCTTTTCTCTTGAAATCACTACATGAATGACTTTTCTTGCTCTGAGTAATTCAGTTCTCATACTCAGCTCCATAGTGGAAGCAGTATCTCGTTAATTTCTAATGATACTTAAATCTCTTCTTCTGTACAGTCACAAAAGCACTCATTATGCCAAAACTCGTGGCTTTCCAATTCTTGCCCATATTAACAATCCACTGCATTTTCTTCTAGAATCTGCAAATCCCCCAATTCCAGGTGGCAATTCTGTTCCCTTTAAACTGAATCCTAAGTAACCTATCTTGTAGAAAATGGACTCTCACATTAGGGATCTTGTCTGTCCTTAATATTTCACACTAGACCTTGCCAAAGCACACATGCCCGGCTCTCACATTGTCAGTGGATTCAGAAACCCGGGAACAGTGTTGTGCAACTTTTCTCGCACGTGTGAACCACCAAGGAGGCTTTAAAAATACAGATACCTGGGGCTGGGAGAGGGCTCTGTGGGTTCAGAGACTGCCGAGCAAGCCTGGGTCCTTGAGTTCGGAGCCCTAGCACCCGCATAAGACCAGGCAGGACTGCACAGCTGTCACGGTGCTTCATCTGAAAAAATGAGGGTGTCAGTGGGGCAATTCCAGGATTAAATGATCACCATTCTCGTCATACCCTGTTGTAATGGTCTCTCTCTCCTCTTCTGCAGCCTTCCTCCACTTCCTCCTTCTACTCTCTTCATTGATGAACTTTGGAGATCTCTCCCACACAGCTCAACAAAATGGCAGAACAGTGGGTTTTCTTCCACAGAATCTCCTGCTCACGGTTCCCCATGTGCTGGCCGTGAGTAGGACGGTCAGAGGTTTCCTAGGGAAGACAAGTCAGCCCATTACCACAGGCAGAAGCTGGGGCTTCCTCACTGCTATTGTTACCTATGCAAAATGTGGCCCGGAGAAAGCCCCTTCTCTGTCTGGCCTCTCAAGCCTCCTCCCCCAACTTCCTTCTCCAGGGTTCCCACTTTGTACTTCGGTTTTCTGGGAAACCCTAACCTTACTTGGGGGCAGTTAGAAGTTATAGGTGCCAGAGTCTTCAGAAGGCCGCATGACCATCACGGTGGTGGGCACCCTTGGACTAGACTGTGCCCCCTACGGACGGAGAAGGGTGCTGCACTCCCAGCACATGGAGATGAGTACTATTCAGGTTAATTTTCCCTCCGGCAACAGCCTTGGCTGACTTAGTCTTCCCGGTTCTACACTTTTGGGAAAGAAGCAGGCAGTAAATGTTTTAGACTTTGAAGACCCCGGAGGTCTACGCTGCAAGTCAAGTCTTTACCTTGTTATGTTGCCCCAAAGCAGCCACAGAGAACACCTATGGGAACAGGTAACGTAGGGTCCCCTCACTTCCTTTGTGGACTCTGAAATGTTTCATGTGATCTCCACAGGTCATCAAAGAGGAGTCTTCTAATCTGCCTCCCCAGCCATTTAGTAACAAAAAAAATCATCTTATCCTGTGAGCCACGCCCAACACTGGGAGCTGGGACTGGTCCATGAGGCGGAGTTCCTCGATGCTGACAGGCACATCACTAGGTGGTGGTTGGCCCAATCCTGCGTGCGCGTTTGATACTACTTGTGGGGTCTGCGGGGAACTATAACCACCCTCCCGCCTACCCTGGGAATTTTGTCTAGATCTTAGCTGTCTTTTGTCAGAAAAGCATAAGATTATTCTCCTTAATTTTATTTGTACGCCAGGGTGTGGTGACAGAGAACTTCAGTCCCAGTACTCAGCAGGCAGATCTGTGAGAACTCCCTGTGAGTGTGAGGCCAGCCTGGACTACGTAGTGAGTTCCAGGCCGGTGGGGCGTCATAGTGAGAGCCTCTCTCCAAGAACTGATTTGTGATGGGACTGTGTACTATGTGGGAAGGGCACATCAAGGAAGACTACATTTTCTCACTCTGGCAGCAGATTGTGTCAGTAACGGATGTCGGATGGTGTTTTTGTCCCTGGAAAGCCTTTCATGAAAACCATGGATTAAGTTGCTGTGTTGGAATCTGCTTCTGGGGTGACAGTGATCTCTGTCAATGGCTGCCTAAGGAGCTCCACTTCGGTTTGGTTCTTTTAGTTCTGTAATACATTTGCAGAGAGTAGAGCTAGCGTGTCCATAAAATGATTTAGGGATGTGTGGTAGCATTTAGCGCTATCCCTCCCACACCCAGCACGGCGCCTCCACTCCTCCTTACCAGGGGACAAAATGAAAAATGGTGAACATTCAGGTTCCCTGGCAGGAGGTGAGCCGATTGGGGGTGAAGCTCTAGGCAGTGTACTGAAGTGGGGTGTCAGTGGGTAGGGTTCTAGGCAGTGTACTGAAGTGGGGTGTCAGTGGGTGGGGTTCTAGGTAGAGTACTGAAGTGGGGTGTCAGTGGGTAGGGTTCTAGGCAGTGTACTGAAGTGGGGTGTCAGTGGG